CTGTCTCTGACCAGGCCTCCAGGTGGTGGTCTGGTCAGCTAGATTGTTGAAGGCAGCGTTGCAGCCTGACGTATAAAAATCACAGCCCCGTTGATCAGGAATCCTTTGAAGGCGATTATCAAGTTCTCTCTTGAACACCACGAAAGGTTGGCCAGTTATACCCTTTATGTTTAGAGGGAGAGTGGTAAACTGTCTTGTGGAGAGTGGTAAACTGTCTTGGCCCCTTGATGTTGACAATTCTCTCTTAGCATACCTATTGCAACTCTGCAATAGTTAGTTAGTTTAGTTCATTTATTATGCACCCCATACCCATCTTGTGGGCGGTAGTGGAAAGGGTTACAGAGGCACATGGGCTCAGGGACTGAACCCCACAATTCATTTAGTTAAGCAAGTTACAATCTTGATGAGCTAGTTACAAAATTCAATATAAGTCGTCACATCAACAATGGGTTCGAGATCGACCTCAATAGGTATGCTATTTTGCCCTTTCTGCCATGCCATCCCTCAGATGTAACACCAGAACAGTTGCCTAACTACTAAATTTACTATTTACCCATTTACTACTAAAGGAACAGTGGCATAGGTGCAAGGAAACGTGCCCCGCCACTACTGCTCCAGCCGGGATCACCGAATGAGTCGAGAACGAAGCCAACTGTACTACGAGACCCGATTATATCACTAAAGTCCTTTCTCGTCCCTCTTCGGTCCTTTCTCGTCCCTCTTCGGTCCTTTCCTTTCTTCCTACTCTCCCTTTTCTCTGTCCCGTTTATTATTCAGTCTCGAGTACATATAGTTTCCCCCCATTGTCGGGGACAGACAACCCCTTACGCTTGCCGAGGACGCCCCCCCCCCATGACTGATACAACCAGGATGTATCCACAACAGTTGTTAACTCATATGTATCACAAGTAAGGTGATAGCCACGTACTCAACACGCCGTAACAATAATAATGTTAGTAATACTTGCAAGCAAGTGATGGAATTAATGACAGGTGGAGAGAGATCACAATATTGCCAAAGACTCGCGAATCTGTACACCGGAGGCGGGACCAAAGAGCCAGAGCTCAACCCCCGCAAGCACAACTAGGTGGGAACAAGTGAGGGTTGCCGGGGGGGGGGGGGGCAGGGCATACCGCTCTCATCAATATGGAGCAGACACGAAACTTGGACTAATTGGTTGGAATAATTATTGGAATGATGGAATTATTTATTATTATAAAGTTGTGTTGTGTGGAAGTTGGAGCAGGAGCCCGGCGGAGGTGGGCGTGGGGAGGTGGGCGTGGGGAGGTGGTGTGCACTTAGCTCACCCTCCACCACACTATAAATATACCTCCCCCTAGTTACCCCTTCACATATTCCTCCCCCCCCCTCCCCCCCCCCCCCCCCCCCCCCTCCTCTTTACCTGTCGTCACAACATTGACTTGTGTCTTGTTCTACGTTAGTGTAACTGCGTGTAACTTCTATAAAAATAAAAGGCTTAATTCATCAATAACTACCTTGATTAAGGTCGTCCAAGGTGGTCTATTGACAATATCTACCATGCATTGTTCCAGTATTATTACCGTTTGTATTACGTTTCATTACTCAGCTCAAGACGAGCATGATCTAGTAACTGTACAGTGTACATGTAATTTATACACCAAGGCAAATATTAACAATTGTCAAAAATAACGATACATGTAAACACCGACACATTTCTAAATAAAACAATAAACCCATAATTTTGTATCGTGTGCTTATCGCTGAATGCATCAGATAGAGACTGGAGAGAATGGTAACTCTCAGGGGAAAGCGTCAAGCCACTACGACTATATAGCACTTGGAAGGGATCAGGATAAGGATTTGGGATTGGACGGGGGGAAAGGAATGGTGCCCAACCACTTATGGACGGTCGGGGATTGAACACCGACCTGCATGAAGCCGAGACCTTCGCTCTACCGTCCACCCCAAGTGGTTGGGCAGGAAGGAGAGAGGAAGATTGTAGGAAGATTTGCCGTAAGTGGAGGAGCGTGAGAGGGAGGCTGGGTGGAGCCCAAGCAGAGATTTGGGGAAAATAAATTGGAGGTATAAAGTGTTGGCGAGAATAATGTGGCAGTGTTGTTGTATGTGGCTGAGTCACTACTAGGCACGCCGCCCCCTCTTGCTTAATGCCTCACGCTCCACTCCCCATCCTCTATCCTTCACTATCCCCCCCCCCCCTCCTTACCTTGAGGTTACCTTGAGGTGTTTCCGGAGCTTAGCGTCCTCGCGACCCGGTTCAGTTGTTGGACTGGTCAACCAGGCTGTTGGACGTGGCTCTATCTTTCAATATCCTCCCCTCTTCAATCCTTCAATATCTTCCCCTCTTCAATCCTTTAATATCCTCCCCCTCTTCAATCCTTCAATATCTTCCCCTCTTCAATCCTTTAATATCCTCCCCTCTTCAATCCTTCAATATCTTCCCCTCTTCAATCCTTTAATATCCTCCCCTCTTCAATCCTTCAATATCTTCCCCTCTTCAATCCTTCAATATCCTCCCCTCTTCTATCCTTCACTATCCTCCCCTCTTCTATCCTTCACTCTCCGTCTATACATAAGGAGCATAACTAGCCGACCTTTAACAGTGTTCAAAAGGTCTTCATAAACACCTCCAGAGTATACCTGACCAACTGAGCTGTAATTCATACTTGGGATTGCGAGAAGCTGAGTTAAACAACCTGGATGACTACCAATACTACCCGTCCTCCTAATAACACGTCGCATTTTGACGTATACTTTACCCAAGACCAAAAAATGTCATACAAGAAAATGGTAGCGGCTCGCGAAATAGACAATGTCCCGTTTTCTGTCCGTGGCTCCGCTGGTAGGTTAGGATAAGGCACTTCTCTCTTCCAGGGACTACTGTATCATCATATCAGTACCAATCACAAAACTTTGCAAAACCAGATGGAGGCATGAACTGAACATCCACTCACTAGAAAGGTGTGAAACAACAGGTACACCACCACTACCACACCTGTCTAAATTGGGGGTGTGGGGAAGCACTCCCCATCTCCACTACCGGGCCTCTCGCCTAATGCATCACACCATTAACGGAATACACCAAAACCTCAAAATGGTGGGGTTTAGTACAACTTAATGCACCCTAATAATGGCGTTTCTCAGTATCGGCCTCGTTAGGTTAGGTGGGTTGCTTAGGTTCCAATGTTTCTTTTGGGAAAAACAAAAATAAATGCATTTTTTACGGATTGTCAGATGGTGAGAAGTGGTTGCTCTGCCAGTTTATCCCTGCACCAACTTCTGACACACTCCTGCTTTCAACCTGTCTTATATTCCACCTGGTAAAAACAGTCCCAGAGCAAGTCATTAAATTACATGTTAACAAGATTAATTAGCATAATTTGGGAGCTTATCAAGTTTTCTTGTGAAAACTGTAAGGAAGTGCAATGTGAAGTATCTTATAGAAATGACAAAACACAGTCAACTCCCCTACTTGATGGGGTTCTGGGAGTTGTTCTACTCCCCAAGCCTGGCAGACGTCAGAGTGTTTGATCCACCAGGCTGTTGCTTGGAGCGGCCCGCAGGCCCACATACCCACCACAGCCCGGTTAGTCCGACACTCCTTAGAGAAAACTATCTAATTTTCTCTTGAAGATGTCCACGGTTGTTCCGGCAATATTTCTTATACTCGCTGGGAGGGTGTTGAACAACCTCGGACCTCTGATGTACATACAGCGTTCTCTGTGCCTATGGCACCTCTGCTCTTCACTAGTTCTATTCTGCATTTTCTTCCATATCGTTCACTCCAGTACGTTGTTATTTTACTGTGTAGATTTGGGACCTGGCCCTCCGATATCTTCCACGTGTATATTATTTGATATCTCGTCTTCTTTCTAGTGAGTACATTTAGAGAGCTTTGAGACGATCCCAATAATTTGGGTGCTTTATCTCATCTATGTATGCCGTACATGTTCTCTGTACTCCCTCTATTTCTGAAATCTTAAGTCTCATTACTCTTCTTGATATCTGCCTCAATTCGGGTAATCAGCAGGTCTTGTGCTGCTGGTGGTTCTCCAATCATCGGTTCCACACTATGTTGCACCAGTAAATGTTTATCTCCTGAGTCCAGTACAGTTTTACTCTCCAGGATTCATTACCACCCGGCTACACACTATCACTCTCTTAGCTCTTATTATTGGTAATGAGAGGGTGATAGAAAACCGTATCCTCTTTAAACCCTCAAATTTTTATTACATTTTTGCAATAACGAATGGTTGATTTTTCGTTACCCTGTCCTGTAATTCTACCTTCATCTTATTGGTAATTAAATATGCAGTTGTGTACATAACTTGAGTATTATTCATGTTTACTGTTGCTCGAGCCCAACCCTGAAGAGGAATGTGTGTGTGTAGAGTTAGTCATTCATGGTTGCTCCTTCAGATTCACAGACTTTCCATTATTTTGCCGTGTTGTACTGTGTTGCCTGGCTTGCCACTTCTTGTGCAGTGCTTGTACCATTTATAAATCTCATTACAAGTTCGTTGGCTTCCCTATCCAACTCAGAAGTGTTCTCACTACAGTATGGAACGTCATGGAACATTCCTCTGTCCCTTAACTTCTCTTTTTTTCTGCACATATATATTTAATTGTACTAATCTTAAAGATAACCTTCACTGATTGATTCTACTCAACCCGAAACCTTCCTAGCCTACAGTAATGTTCAATTGTTGGTTAGTTTACTAGCAAAAGAATTTTGGCAAGTGCATGTAATCTCTTCAGTCTCACTTTTTCAGGTCTTTTATTCAACTACTCTTGCGAGTCTTATCTTTAGGTCCTCAATGACCTTCTCCAGCCCATCTGTCCTCTCTCTTTACTTTCCTCTATTCCCTTTACCTTTTCATGTTGCTTGTGTTGGTCCTACACAAACCCTGAACTCTGCTTCAAGTACAATATCTCAACCTATACTTAACTGTCAATGGCGAAAAATATTATTTTCAAAACTCTTTATGGGGACACCTTACCACGTTCCATTAATGCCCCGTCTTCCTCGATGGCTGCAGACATCTTGATTATTATTTACCTGGAAGTACAAGAGAAAATTATTAGAAGTTTGAAACGCCAAGTAGGCTGTACAATAGGCGAGTCAGATAGACTCTCTGTCCTATCAGAGAAGATAGGACAGATACTGTAAAACCGTAAGCCGTTACCTCTCCTTTGTTCCTAATTCATTATAGTGTTGGGGCCAACATGTGTTTGTGGATCATAATATGATCATATTATGATCATATGATCTGCGGGGATCATAATATTGCGTTTTACAACACTGCAGCCAGCATACAGCCCTCATATTATGAAGTGTTGCCTCTCCCGGTTACATAGCTCTCAAGTTCAAATAAACTAATGAAAAACTAATTTTTTGCTTAAAAACTAATGGATTAATAATTTCAACTCAGTATGCAAACCATATTTGTTTTGTGTAAGCCAATGCTATTATTTTGTAAATAATGATGCTAAGATTAAAATCAGTAGGAGACAAATATCAAATCAAATAAATCGTCAATGTGCCGCGGTGGTAGAAAAAACTGGGCCACAGTGCAACAGTCATTTTTTTTTTTTTTTTTTTTGAGATATATGTGCATGCATTACCCACAGTAAACAAATTTTGGATACTTCGTTAAGATTCCTAGCAGTATATCATTATGAATGAAGTACTTACACATTTCTTGGACACTATTGATGGTGTTATCTCTGAATTCCGCTATTTTTCACATTCCATTATATAATGATGCAAAGTATGCGAATAGTTCTGCTGACAGTTTACATTTAGTCACATCTACATCAGCAGATGTTACAAACTCCAAGAACCGAGCCTAAGCTTAGCAATGGTGACATCTAGCAGTCTAACCTTATTGGATGACCCATAGACGTGCGGTTCTAAGTGCATAGTAGAATGATGATAGATGAACTGGTGTGAATTTTACTTTGCCTCAAGTCTACGAGATTTTGTTGATGATCCCGGAATATTACTGCCCTCAAGCTGCTCAAAGGCAGTCCAAGATGATAATCAATTCCCTCTTTACGAGCAAAAGTCTTGGCCAACTCATCAGTTCTATCATGCATTCGGAGACCAATATGGGAAGGAATCCACAGGAGACAAACTCTGACTCCATCATTGATTATTTCAATATATCTGTGTCTAGCTTCTGAGACAAGCACGTCACAGTTATGCCTTGGGGAGCTGAGGGCAGTCAAGGATGACAAGGAGGCACTTACAATTAGCGTGTCAACTTTGGATTCATATACGCGCTCGAGTGCCAGGATTATGGCAACCAATTCTGTTTGAAGAGTGGAGGCCCAGTTACTTAGACGCGCTCCACTCTCATGTGAGATGGAACCATCTCTCACTGTCACAACAACTGCACTTCCAGCTGCACCATGGGACTGATGCAAGGATCCATCAGTGTAAATAATCTGGGAAAGGGAACGCTCTCTGACTAAAGAGAGCGCACGTCATCAATTTGGCTTAAGGTATTGTACTTTGCTTCTTGTCAAAGCAAGGACTGTTCTTTAATCAGCTTCTTGAGTGGGAAAGGGGGGACAATAATTTGGAAAGGAGTGATCTCCCATGGGGCAGGAAAGTGTCGTTATTGTCTCTCTTGATAGAGGTGAGGAATATTATACATTCAGAGCACAGTGACAATTTTGGTAATCCATTTGGAGGGATGCTGACCTTCAAGGAAGAAGGCTTGGAGGGCTTCAGTGCAGGGGTTAGGGTGGGTTAGCCTAAGCATCTTGATACCAATTAATGCATTAATTTCAGTGATACGATCACATACACATGAAATATTGAGTTCCTTCCTCATGTTTAGTAATTTAGTTGTACGGGGGCATCCGAGGATAATCCTCATGGCTTCGTTTTGCATCTTTTCCAGCCCTCCAAGCATTCTCTGAGGCACTAGAGCAAGCATGGGTGCAGCATAAACAGAGACCTAATATATGAGAGATACATCATTTTGACAATTCTCACATTTGCGCCATAGCTTGGATGGTAGCCTGCCACAGCCTTGAGAGCACGGAGCCTCTCTCTACATTGGCGACCCAGTCTGGCTACAACATTGTGGTACAGTGGAACCTCAAGACCAAGGTATTACTGTAAACACTTGTACCATCCTGGTGCCGCTCCCCACCTACACTACCCTCGCCCCTAGCTACTATTTCTTAATTTCACACCTTTAATTAGTAACTAGTAGTCTGCCAGGTCTTAACAATAATTGATAAACCTATGGAAAGATCCAGGTTCGCATGAAGTAGACCAGATTTTAGAGGTCAATCGTGCAGCCCGTCCTCCTAAGGTTTCCCATCGTCAAGAAACCGGTCAATTTAAAGTGTCCTGACCTACCAGAGGACCCAAAACAGAAAACAGAACAGTACATCACTTTCGCCAGCCGCTTCCATTTTCTAGTACGACAATTTCTGACCTTATGGAACTCATACAATCGAAATGCGATGTTCTTTGTAGGTTGAGCAGGTTGAATCGTGAGTCGAAGTGGTTGATTATGCAATTATCCCGTAATTTGTTTCATTAATCAACAACCCGGTTTCTAAACCAGTACCTTCCCATCTCTCTCCTACACCTCAGCTTACTCAATTTATACCCATTGTTATTTTATTTTTGCGTTGATATATTTAATATTAACTTTAATATCACTGTTATACCCCGTTCATCCACTCGTATAGTTCCAAGTATGTCACCCCTTAGTTGCTCAAGCCATCAACTTGGATAGCGGACCTCCCCCCCCCCACCCACACACACACACGGTAGAACCTCAAGCTAAGGTATATGACTGTCAAGATCAAAGAAAATGGGTAGCATACAAGGGCACACGCCAGATGTCAACGTGAACCCAAGTGACGGGTGCCAGACGAGGCTGGGGGGTGCCAGACGGGGCCAGGGAAGCTAAGGGTGCCAGGCGGGGCCAGGGAAGCTAAGGGTGCCAGGCGGGGCCAGGGAAGCTAAGGGTGCCAGGCGGGGCTAGGGAAGCTAAGGGTGCCAGGCGGGGCCAGGGAAGCTAAGGGTGCCAGGCGGGGCCAGGGAAGCTAGGGTTACTGTATTTCCCACTTCTAAACGTCCCTTCACCTATGCCTCTCTTTCCTCTTTAAACCCCCCCCCCAAAAAAAAAGAGAGACTTTCAACAGGTTAATTTGAAATGAGTTGAAGAAAGTAGTTTGATATTATAGTGATACTAATTATTGTGTGAAAATCCCCCTTTTTTTTGGGGGGGGGGGGGTAAAGAGGAAGGAGAGGCATAGGTGAAGGGAAGTTTAGAAATGGGAAATATAGTGAGAGGTATGAAAGCAGGCGGGCTGTCCGCCTTGCTGACACGATGTGTGGGTGTTGGCAGCTAAGCTAAGCTGGCTCCCTCTTGTCAGGGAGCTGTGAGTGTGTGAGAGGTTCTTCACATGTGTTTCACCATATATGGATGTCCATAGATGAATACTGTGTAGCATTCATATATACACACTCCGATGCTTCCACACGTTTTGTTCAAGGCTATTTATTTTATTATTATTATTTATTGATTTATTCATAGATACACATACATATATATACACATGTATATATACATTTATACACATACATATACACATACATACTCCTTTTTTCCAATTCTTGGGGGAAGGATTTCTGGTCAATATTTCATCTGGGAATTATGTACTCTGGGGCTGAGTTTTCATATAGTAAATCGAGGCTCTTGGGTCCAAGTACGTTAATGCGTGTCGTTTAAAAAGTCAGAGATTCTTCAGCAGGTTCGAAGCTGTTCTCCCTCAAATGAAGACGCCAAGCCAGCCAAGATGTCTGTGGCTTGCTCTGTAAATATCTTCCCATATGTTCCGTGTAAGTTACCATGTTATGGTATACAGGTATGGCATACCTTATGGCGACAGGTCAGGGACCACTTTAAGGTCACAGCCACACCGGGTACATCTTTGTCATATGGTGGTGGTGACTGGTTGTGAAGGCACTGTTGACGCGTGTACTGATTCCAATGTTCTGCCCGATACCACCTAATTTCCCGATACCGATACTCTGGTAATATATTATACCGTCTTACTAAAACATGATCAAGTTCATGCTCCTTGTGATCTCAGGGCTTGTAAACATCGTAAATTAATAACACGATTATTATAATGACCATAAAGCAACTTATCTTGAAGAATCCACTAAATCAAACTTCAACTCCCCAGCAGTGATTACTAATTACCAAAATAAATAATAACGAAGGCCATAATAGTTACTCAAGTGTGATTGGTTCGGGGGCAAGATGCCTTGATACCTGGTTGATGGGGTTCTGGGAGTTGTTCTACTCCCCAAGCCCGGCCGAGGCCAGGCTTGACTTGTGAGAGTTTGGTCCACCAGGCTGTTGCTTGGAGCGGCCCGCAGGCCCACCACGGCCCGGTTATTCAAGCAGTTCTTGGAGGAAACAATCTAGTTTCATCTTGAAGATGTCCACAGTTGTTCCGGCAATATTTCTGATGCTCGCTGGGAGGACGTTGAACAACCGCGGACCTCTGATATTTATACAGTGTTCTCTTAGTATGTCTATGGCACCTCTGATCTTCACTGGTTCTATTGTGCATTTTCTTCCATATCGTTCACTCCAGTACGTTGTTATTTTACTGTGTAGATTTGGGACCTTGCCCTCCAGTATTTTCCACGTATATATTATTTTATCTCTCTCTCGTCTCCTTTCTAGTGAGTACAATTGGAGAGCTTTGAGACGATCCCAATAATTTAGGTGCTTTATCGCGTCTATGTATACCGTATATGTTCTCTGTACTCCCTCTACTTCAGAAATCTCTCCTGCTCTGAAGGGAGGAAGTGAGTACTGAGCAGTACTCAAGACGGGACAGCTCCAATGATTTGAAGAATACAACCATTGTGATGGGATCCCTGGATTTGAAAGTTCTCGTAATCCATCCTATCATTTTTCTGGCTGACGCAATATTTGCTTGGTTATGCTCCCTAAACGTTAGGTCGTCAGACATCATTTTTCCCAACTCCTTTACATGTTACCTGGT